GCACAGCACCATCTAAGACTATTCACGCCTGTATACTTCTACTACAAAGTTACTTCTGAAACTAGAATGCACTGATTTTACAATTTAATGTTAACACAATTTTACCACAATATTTATCACTAAAATGATCACTGTGTTTTTTACACAGACTACATAAACAGAGAATAAATTGTGAATTTGAAATAAGAGAATAATTTGTAAAATCTATCTAATGATTATTCCCTATAAGCAGCATCAAGAATTATATCAATTCTGGCTTCAGGTGATGCATAACTATTTAAACAATCCTCTGCTGGTGTAATGAAACCAAGAAAGCAAAACTGGGTGCAGCCCAAAAACAGCCTTCAATATGAAGACTGGCCATAAGTGGGCTTGTACATTACACATATTCAATTAAAAGAAATACACTATTTTGGAAGTTAATAACATAACATCAACAATTCCTAAATCTGTATTTCAAGATAAATGTCCAGAATATTTCACATTTTAAATGGGCAAATGTTAACAGTATGTTCAAGCACTTACATAAATCTAATTTTAACAGACTACATTGACAATTGCAAGATAATTATTTCCTCTAATTATGATTTTTCAAATATGCTGGCTACTGCCATGAATTTTCACAAGTTGTCATATAAAATTAACCATGTAGCAGTAATATAGACCCTGGCTTAACTTCTATATTTATAGGGTAGGTATAATATGAAGAAAAGTGAGTATCAAATTAAAATTATAATAATACTAATAGAAAGTCTGTAGTCTAAACCAAGCAGATGCAGTGGACAGAAGCAGCAAACAGTGCGGGAATGTGGAAATAAGATTAAAGCATTTCAAGACATACAAGTAGTGTATATACAGAGAAATTAATTAGACTTGTCAACAACTTTAAGCTTGTGAAACCTACGAAAACCTCCAACTTTTACAAACTGTACTTACATACAGAATTACATTCAACAATGGGTACAACATGTCTTCTTACAGAAATAAAAATTTTGACAAAAAAAAGAACAGCACATGTATGGCAATTCAAAGTTTTACTGATCAAATTTAGGAAACTGAGGAAATGATATGAGGCAGGAAATTTAAATAAAAGGTGTCTCATCTATCACCACTTCAGAATTATGGCATATTGAAACATTAGTCCTGACTGTTCTCTATATTTGTGTGACTGAGCCTTCGTAACATCACGAGACACTGCATTCACTTATGGTTCACATTACTTCCACCAGTGGTGAAACAAGATGGCACAATTTACTTTAACCATTTACTAAAAGAGTGGATACGCCACAGAGGTGTGGACTGTGTTTCCATGTTCTCGTAATTTGAACTGACTTCATTTATACTTAATGGGACACATCAAAGAAAACATTTACACTACAGAAGTACAAGATCATGACAACCTGATCACATCCTGGTAGCTGTGACAGACATTACGAGTCAACCTAGAAAACAGGTTCATTTGACGTCATCAAGAGGCATTCATGTGAGCTAAAGGAACAACTTATGAAGAAATACACTCAAACATTTGCATTAAATGTACTGTAAATTTTAAGCTGATAAGTGTTAATAACTTTCGAAGCTTTTCTCTTCATCCATTGTACTTGAAAGTAACAAACGCACATATTAATTGTAAATAGATGACTGCATACATAAACCAAAATTTGTTCAATTTTCTTAAAAAAAATGGAAAAATATCATAACTCAACGAAGGTGATGAATGGAACAATTTATTTACATTTTCTGTTCCAATTTATCTTCCCAGAAAATCTCACACACATACACACACATTCTTTCTCAAGAGGCTGAATCTGGCTGACCCAACTGAAAAAAGAACATGCAAGTGGTAGCAGAATGTGCTTTAAGTGATAAGAGGACAGGGAAAGAGACCATCAGCTAGCTTTATTATGAGGTGCCTCTTTTACCATTCACCTTGTATTGCTCTGACTGGAGCTGCAAATGATTCACTGTCACATATATCAGTTCTCTTTGTTTCTGTCTATGTATACAGAAATCTGTTTCACGTTCTCACGTACAATACTGAATTTAGATTGTGAAATATTCATTTGAAAAGCAGTCTCCCCCCCCCTGTATAATGCTTATGTGAAAAATAAACCCAATAAATTGTGCAAGAGAAGGTATCACCATAAGTATCCTGGTATTTGAGTTCCAACTTCGTCAACAGTTTTCAAAGTGGTGAAGAAAGTATGCTCAACTGCATATTTCTTTGGAAAAGAAACAGAATAGGCTGAATATTGTGCTAACTGAGGAAAAGCTTGATGAAATAAGAGCCAGATTAGAACTTTCAACTTGTAAATCCCTGATATGATTAGCTCAAAAGCACAGGCTTCAACAACAGCAAGGTGGAGTGCAACTAAAAAATAAGACAGGTTCAAGCAACTCAAGAAGGCAGTTATGACAGGATGTATTTCTGTAACTGGCTTTTGTGGGCAGTACAAGACAGCATCCTTCACTCATTCGTTTCATTTATTATTGCTGGAACCTGGTTCCAGCTGTGTGGGAATGTCAATGTTCAGAACAATAATTAATCTGAGATAGACTTCTGAAGTACCCCTTCACAAACAGACAACTGGTGTGTAGTGTTCCATTCCTCCACCTAAACTGAAATGGGAAGACAGTGTCAACCAGGATATCAGACTTCTTGGACACAGCAAGTGGAAGGGACTGGTATCAAATGGGGAAGAGGGGAAGAAGCTACTGAAGAGGGCCAGGGTCCATGCAGAGCCGTCACACCACCGCCACCATCACCAACAACGATGATAATGTGCCATTACTGCTACATGAATGGCTGGAAACATACATTTTTATCATACCATTAATTCAGAGCAGTATGTCAATGACATTCTCCTGCCTTGTTTTTGGAGCATTACAGAAGACGAAAGGGCATGTGGATATTATGTACGAGACAGTGCTATAGCACACATAGTTAATTAGTCAATTTATGTTTTAAATGAAGTTTCTGAAGACAGCCAAATCACAGATGTGACCTCCAAGGTCTGCAGACTTATATCCCTGTGATTTTCATTTGTGGCGAAACCTACACACCAGTTGAACTTAGCACAACACCTTTGAAACAATTACATCCATCAAGGTCACTGAACTCAGGCTAGTGTCAACAGTCTTCTTAACAGACTTGAAAATTGTTTAAAAGCAGAAGGGAGATGCTTTGAGCATATACCATAAGAGTGAATTCTTCTAAACAACTTATTTACTTCCAGAAACACATATCTATGTTTACAATATGCAGCACATTAGCTGTGACTTGGGAGTTCTACTCTCACAGGCGATACTCAAAGTTCTGGCTAGCAGACCAGTGTTAAATCAGACAATTCAGCCCTTCAACAAAGAATCTCTGTGGGTGTATACAAGTAAGAAGACTTATGCAGATTTTTCAAAAATTGATTTGCATTCTTTTTGTGACATGTAAATCTGATCAACAAGACTGAATAGTCTTAATGCACATTAGTGCGCTGTTGCAAAGGCTATTCAGAACAGTCTGCTTCATACTAAAAAACACTGGACTGCATTTTTATGTACAATACAATCACAGGTAAATTTGAAATGTTAACTGTTGCTTCCTATCAATAATAATCTTATTCTTATTTAACACAAACTGTGCATATGGTTCTCAAAAGTTACCAGGCTTACTTCACTACACTGGCAATGATTCGTGTATACAAAAGCATTATGACGCATTCTTCTTAACCATGTATGCCTACTGCAACTTTAACCTCATTTCCACTTATAGGGATCAATAATTACGAAAATATTAAATTGGTCTTACCGTGAATTCACCCGTTATTGCATCAAATCCAACATGAACTGTGTGTTCAAAATTTGTTGGGTATGAAATGTTAGGTTTCTCACTATCCTTCCCCTTTTGTTTCATCTTGCCTTTCAACGTCTTTTTCTTGCGATCGTCTGCATCTGGTTCCTTGGGAAGAGGACGCATATCCACTGGAAGATTTGGGGTAGAATCACCCCTAAAAGAAGTGGCTGAATCAAATAATTCTAAAATCATAAGCTAATAGTCTGATTCCAAAAATTTAAGCACAGACCGTAATGTGTTCTTTTACACAATTACCTGTTACTTGTCAGGCGCACAGGAGGTGCTGGGGGCTTATCTTCATCGTCTGACATAGCGACACAAGATGCTACAAAAAATTAGCACTCTGCAAACTTCAAATGAAGCACCTAACAAAATAATTATTTATTATTAACACATACTGAAATAATGCTGGGTTATGTATGAAAACAAAGTTTCTTTATTAAGGCAACAATATTTGATTAGAGGTGTTGGGCAGGAAGGGAAAAAGCACCGCAAGGACAGGTCTCATTCATATATGGAAATAGCCAATAATACTTACCTTATCTCTATTTTCTCTCAAGATCTCACTGTCAACCACATCTGTACATATTAAGGTTATGACACCATAAGCTATTTACCAATGGAAGGCATTACTAATAGCAATATTTGGGATTAATGTAACCTTTACCATAGCCTTTTATCACCGCCATGTACTAAACTCCATTAAATCAAAGAGAAACTAACTTAGAGCGGGTTTAAGAGAGCGACATATTGACTAGCCCATCAACTTTAACCCTCTCCAATATGTCCATCTCTTTGAAATCAGAGGATAGGGCGGCGCGAGGGGCGGTGGAGATCGGTGGAGATGGCAACAGCGTTAACAGCTGTTTCGTGTGTCGATCAGAGTTGTGAAATATATTCCAAAGAATTTGTTATTGAAGTATTATAAAACATCCTTCTTTAAATTGGTTGTAAAAAGGAAGAGAGCATGAAGAAAAAGGTGAGCGTTATGTTAGTTAATATGTCGATTACGTTTCAGTTCCAGTTGCATATTGTCATGCTATTTTTCATATGTTTAAATTTGCTATTGGACTAATAAATTAGTGAAATGGCAGAATTTGTGATATCGTAACACATGACCTATTCTGAACAAGATACAATAATAGTACATCGTCTGCTCCTCTTTTTATGTTCATTGATTCCCATGACTAATGAACCAGCTAACTCTATGGAGAATTGTTGAATATTTCATTGTCTAGACCAGGTTGCACATTGCAATGTCAGTTTGACTGTGACGAGTGCAATATCCAGTCCGGTATCCGGACAAAGGATCTGTGAAACCATGTAGCTATGTATGTATGTATGTATGTAATACCCCTGTGTTTTTTTTTTTTTTTTTAACTAATATTTGTTCAGCGAGTCAAGATTTTCCTCTTCATTTATGGACTCTGAAGATCCATTACCGTGTTCTCAAGAGCCTGCTGTTGGGCCTTGTCCATGAAAAAATAAATTCAGTCCATACCTTCCCAGCCAGTCATTGAAAATAACAAACACAATATTATTAATTGGGTAATACAGTCTCCTTGTTGGAAAGGCAAAGGTACTGATATCAGTTTTATTATTTGCTGATCATTTATGTATATCAAATGTTTTCAGGTTTTGTTAATGGGGAAGAGCGGATCTGGCAAGACATCAATGCGGTCAATAATCTTTGCTAATTACATTGCAAGGGATACTCGTCGTCTAGGAGCCACAAGTAAGTTTTATTTTAGTAAGATTAAGATTATTGATCTTCAGTTTAAAACATTGTAAAATTCTGTGTGTGATACATTTTATTTTATTCGTAGTTTATTAAAGATGCAGTCAGTATCTTAGACTATGATTTATTTAATCCGTCTTGCAGTGCATACATTCATTTATCTCCTTCTTTCCCTCGCACTACATGTTTCGGCATAATAATGCCATCTTCAGGTGCTTACTTGTCCACGTCAAACCAGTTCATTGCATGCCATGTTCACACATTAAAATAACTAAAATATGTATCTATCATATACATTGTCAAACGTTAAAAGTATTAAAATTGTTCAGGATACCCCATCACTACGTCGCCCCTCACTACGTCAGTCACGCCCATTCTCCTTTGTTGGAGCACTCCTTCACTATCTTGTGTGTTGTGCTTTTGTTGTGTCGTGCTCCTGCGACTGTGTAGCATCAAGTAGGTGCCTACTATATTGAATTGAATTGAATTTATTTACATTCTATAAATCCTAATCAGGTTAGTACCTTAATGCACCATTGCTCTCATTTAATTGATAAGTGAATAGTGTTACTTTCTGAAAGTACTGGAAGTTTTTAGGATTGAAATCTGGTCCTCCCATCTTGTGTCTAAAGCCCACACCTTCACACTTATTGTTACTGCCCCCAGCATTCTGTTTGCTCACACTTATGAATAAAAAAATCTGTTATAATGTACAGGTATTTAGTGCTGTGCATCCCTTCTGAGCACAGAGCACAGGCACTGAACAGAAATGTAACTACAGGTCATAAACATAAAAAGTCAATAATTTTCAAACACAATGCATATGTGTACATGGTTTTGATGGCTAACAGATGGTATTTGGAATGTTCAGTCACTGGCCTTAGTGATATACATGGATACCTCACAAGACTGCTCTATATCTGTTGTCATAGTCATGATACTGTACCGAAACGCCATGTGTTTCATAGCATATGTGGAGTGACCAAAACTATGATATGATATTGTGGTCCTGACTGTCAAATAATGCTATTACTATAACATCTAACACATGTTAAGACCCATTCACGCCGTATGTAACAACACTGATGGAATGAACCAATAAAATATATGCTGATGTAGTTCAATGAGTATGTTCACATCATACATTTACATGGACTGCAACCAACAGGCACTGGCCAGCAAAATTTGGAAGACTGTTTTGACCTTCTGGTGCCAGTTGGCTGCAGAGAGACCTGTAGATGCTATAGAATACAGCAGCCTGATGTGTTCAGGTCAGTGTGAATACTCAGGAAAACTGTCAGTCTGCTGATAGCCCTTTCCCTGTCAGTGTCATTATGAGCAGTGTGAATAGGCCTATATTAGTATGACACTGTCATTGGAGGGGACAGCTATGCAGATTGAGACTGATAAGTAATCCCATCTACAGGATGGTCATGATGACAAATCTTATAAGGAAGCACATGCCTTATGCGACTAAGGTTCTACCTGAATTAAGATTTTGTCACCTGTGAACTTATTTGATAAAATCAAGTGATTATCTCAATGGCCCAGTAAGCAAAGTAAGGTGACACCATTGCTCAAGCAGTTAGTCACTGGCTTCACACTGTCGCAGCCCGGGTTCGATCCTGGGTCTGGTAAAGTGGGATTTGTGGTGGACAAAGTGGCGCTGGGGAGGGTTTTCTCCAAGTAATTTGGTTTCCCCTGCCAATCTTCATTCCACCAAATTCTCCAGCATAATCACCCAGGGCAGGTGCAATAGGCCAACCAGTGGCCACCGTGCCGAGTGGACCCAGCTGGACTCCACCCCCCACTAAGCAAAAGCAAAGCAATGCACTTCATTCAAGGTGCACAAATTCTTGAGGGTTAAGTTTTAGAAAGAGAGTGCATGATAAATCGAAGACAGTTGCAGTGCAAGGGTTGTTTACTGCCCACCCTGTTAGTCACTTATTTCGTATGTTGCACTTGCTGCATGTGAGGAAACTACCAATCATACCCATGGACCCTAAATATTTTACTAACAGAATGTCATTTCTTTTTCACCTTTGCAGTTGATGTGGAACATTCTCACGTCAGGTTTTTAGGAAACTTGGTTTTGAACCTTTGGGATTGTGGCGGGTAAGTAAATATGCACAGCATGAAGTATAATTCAGGGCAAGATAAATATCCATATCAAAATTTATCACTAGATTTTGGTGAAAATGAGATATTGCAGTTTTCTGGTTCTCTGTCTTGTGTTTACTGTCACATACTTCTGTAGGTTTGTCTTGCAAGTGTGAGATTTCAGAATGTGATCTATTCTCAGTCATATTTAAACTGCAGTTCAAGTCAATGTCAAAGTCATTTTCCCAAAAATTGTTGTTAGTGGACATAGTTCACTCCAATACACAGGTGGCCATTTATCTTTGAAGTTCTGAATTTGGTTGTACTACCTCCAACTAAGCATAGAATCCACTGATCAAATTTAGATGGGGATTACTCATATTATTATTATTAATCTGTAGTTCACTTGCTATGACAGTGCAACCAGATTTTATTAACAGTAAGATTTCAGGCCTGAAATGTTAAATTGTCATCTTTTATGTTTGTTGATATTCATTCTGATACGTTTTGTCATTCCAATATACGAAGGGGGACCCAAAAATAACCGGAAACAACCTGTTGCGCTCGCATGCTTTGTACTTACGAGTTGTGCTGCTAGGTGGTGTTAGCTGGGGGTCTCCCGCGACTGTTAGTGAGCTGGCGTCAGTCTGAGTTAAGTGGTTTGTCTGTGGTGCTCTGTTGTGTGCGTTCCTGTTTCAACCCTTTGGCGATTAGTGAGATGGCCGACCAGAAGGAACAAAGAGTGTGCGTGAAATAGATGAAGATCATCAAAAGACCATTGACCAACTTTCTGAGGAAACGAACATCTCATGGAGCACGGTGCAGCGAATTTTAACTGAAGGTTTGCACATGAGACGGGTGTCTGCAAAATTTGTTCCTCGCTTGCTCGGAGATGACCAAAGAGAAAACCGCATGAATGTTTGCCGCGACTTGAAGAGTGAAGTGCAGTTTTCCCTAACAGAAAGCAAAATTTCACGCACACTCTTTTGTTCCTTCTGGTCGGCCATCTCACTAATCGCCAAAGGGTTGAAACAGGAACGCACACAACAGAGCACCACAGACAAACCACTTAACTGAGACTGATGCCAGCTCACTAACAGTTGCGGGAGACCCCCAGCTAACACCACCTAGCAGCACAACTCGTAACTACAAAGCATGTGCGCGCAACAGGTCGTTTCCGGTTATTTTTGGGTCCCCCCTCGTATATCTTGTGTGCCTTCAGTTTGGTGAGGAATTTTTATATCTTTCATTGGTGCTGTTGTCATTATCAGTCAGGAAGCATTCATGGAAAACTATTTTGCCAGCCAACGGGACAATATCTTCCGGAATGTGGAGGTCCTTATCTATGTGTTTGATGTTGAAAGTAGAGAACTTGACAGAGATATGCATTATTACCAGAGTTGTTTGGAAGCAATTTTGCAGAATTCACATGAGGCAAAGATTTTCTGCTTGGTTCACAAAATGGACCTAGTTCAAGAAGATCAGCGAGATATAGTAAGTGAACATGTAATTGGAATGAATAATGAAAGTTGTGATTAAAGAACATAGAATACATTCATAATTCTCTTCATATTTCCATTCCAGATATTTCGAGAACGAGAGGATGATCTGAAAAGATTGTCAAAGCCTTTAGAATGTACATGTTTTCGAACTTCAATCTGGGATGAAACCTTGTACAGGGTAAGAATTGTTCTTTTTCTGTAATATTGTATTCATCTACACAGGTTACACTTCTATACCCAGTGCATTAGAGACAAGACTGATATAAATGAAAACACATTTTTCAGTTTCATTGGTGAGCATATAGTGCACAATTCTTTGTTTTCAAATTTTAGGTATATGGAATATTTTTATCAGAAATATACATAATATCATGGATAATTTAACCCAGCAAATCCTAGTACAAAGCCTATCTCATCATCACTGAGAAGCTGAACAGCTACTCGCTGAGATGTTTTAAGTAGTCTTAGAACATCATTATTTTCATCTTTGACATTAGGCCATGCAGTGCCATATACCATTTAAATTATAAAATTTGAGGTTAAACAGAAATAACACACAGTTTTCAAGAAACGCTATGTTTATGCAGCATTAATTGCTGATCACAATATTTAAGGCATATTCATAATGAAAGAATATGCTCTTTATAGAACTGCAAGCACATTCTCCATAAATTTCTCCCTGCATGGAAGCATAATATTCTCTCACAGAAATACATGGCATCACAATATCATGATGGCTATTTCTAATTCCCTCCCCTTACACACATGCACGCTCTTGTGTGCACACATACGTTTTAGTGAGTGCATAAATGTTGGCTACCATGACAGAATACATTGTAAAATTCAAAATAAATATATGCATATAGTTTTACAATTGAATTGTTTGCACATTCCAAATTTTATTAAGAAACATTTGTAGAATAGAAAAGTAACAAAGAGAACTATAGAAATAGACTATGTGGTGAATTATATTACTGACTTAATATGATAGTAATAATAACAAAAACAAATTTTCATTGAATAATTGTAGAACAAAATATTACACTAATGTTATCAGCTGTTTTATGATTCAACTGATAATTCGTTCTGTGTGTTTGTGTGTTATTTTTCTCCAGCTTTTCCCCTGAAAGTTATGACGCTCCAGTTAGTTCCACATATCAAAGAGAGTTGTATATATCAGATGTACACCAGTTTAACCTTTAACATATGGACTTTTAAATTGCTGGGAGCCCTCTGCAGCTGGTATTTAAATCACCCTAATTAATTAACATTGCAAACTTCAGAAAAAAATACATATTTTCCGTTCTATGCAACATAGAAATATGAACTAAAAGGAGTCTGAAAGACAATAAAATTTTCTACATATACTGAAAAGAGCAATTTTTACAAACGAAAATTAACTATGATTATTTTGTCATGAAATGCAAAATATAAACTTTATTATATATGTTATGAATTTCCAAAGGACTTACCCGTTGTTTTTTCTTCAACCTTGAATCATGGTGATATTATAAATATAGTCACACTATATACAATAATATTTTCTTCGGACTGTACACGAGTTTGAACTGCATCACTCCACAGTTTACGATACACTCTGACACGGGGCATAGCACTTCTCAAAGCAGTCCACCTCACACAGAGCGACACCACCCTTTTTACAATAGAAGAGCATGCTCCTGCTTTTCTTATTTAGCGAAACTCACGACATCTTTGTTTCCTTTTGGTTGGCCAGTGTTGTGAATGTTTCACCTCCAGTCAACTCAGTTGGGCCCCCTGATAACTTTGGCCTTCCCCTGAGAAACGCCATTGACCGTGATATTTGGCTTGTGCAATTGAAGAATCATCTTGGGGGAGGGGGGTTTCTAGCAAAATCGAATAAATTATGTTGATTGACAAAGCGACACTCTCACCTGTTTGTAATACTCGCAAAATAGTGATGCAAAGTAATTATAATACTAGTCGAAAAGAGTGCCAGTCCGACACAGATACTGAAAGTAGCAGTGGCGAAGATGCCTTTTACTCACAGAGTAATACTGGCTCAGTGGGTTTATACCTCTTCCCACACACAAAATAAAAATGATATATAAAGAAATATATGACAGTCTGACTCTGACTTTTTAACTGATAAAGAAATATTAGACAATCCGACACTGACCTCCTACTTGATAATTCGTCACTGAAAACCAATCCTTGCATGCGTCACACTTCCTTGAAGGCTCTGGAAGCACTCACATGCAAGCACAGAAGAATATTTCCTCATCAGTTCTCAAAACAAAGCTGGGCTATATTTGGCTGACCAGGTCATAAACAGTCATATCTAAACCAGTACCGTGATAAACAATTTCTTTGTTCAGAGCTAAGGAATGAACCACTGACATGACCTCACATAGGTTTGTTTTGGTTTCAAACCCAAGGTCAAACTGTCAGCACTCCCAAAGAGTGCAGGTGTCCTGCATCACATATATATGACGCAAGCAACTGAGGCTGCTGCTCACGTCATATATATGACATTCGGACGTTAAAGGTTAATTAATGTAAAATGTAATGTTGACAGGCCTGGTCTTCTATTGTATATAAGCTAATTCCAAATGTGAAGGAATTGGAGCAAAGTCTGAATCAGTTTGCTAACATCATTGATGCAGATGAAGTACTGTTGTTTGAACGGGCAACATTTCTAGTCATTTCTCACTGTCAGCGACGTCCACACAGAGACGTTCATAGGTTTGAGAAGGTGTCTAACATCATTAAACAATTCAAATTAAGTTGCAGGTATGTAGTTATGTAATAAATAATTTGTCTACATTAAGAAAGAAGCTGATCAATATTCAGGAGGAACATGTTCCTTGTATGCTTAAACAGAATCTCAAGTGTGTACCAATGGACGCAGTTTGTGACATCACCTGTGTGTTTGAATGTCAGTCATTAACCATCATTTCTAAACACTAATTGCTTTGAGCAGTTCTGCTAGAGTATATGATTTTGGTCTAATATGGCCTAAATCTAAGATATGTATTGAATTATAATTCACAGAAAGAGATGTAAAAATTTCTTAAGGGTATTAGTATATTTGTGTTAATGTTGAATAAATTACCTAAACTTGACCAAACATACAGGGTTTCAGATATGTGAAAAATTGTGACATCTACATATAACAGTGATGTGTTCAAAGTTATCTAAGTAAAATAATCTTAATTCTATAAGAAAAATGCAATATTCAGGTTTTCCTTTTTATGATTCTGTTAGAAGATGTTTTGTTTTTGTGGCACCAGACTTGATAAGCCTAAAAATTTAAATGGAATTTCTGGATACTGTTCATCCCACATAAAGTGCACCCAAGTATGTGTTTTGAAATTACCTAGATGTCAGACATTCCTTTTGCTTCCAAAGGATGAAATTCTATATCTGGGTAAAACAATTTTCAGTCCCATAGGTTATTCTGGAGCTGGGTTAGCTCAGTCAATATAGTGACAGGCTATGGGCTGGACAGCCCAGGTCTGATTCCTGGCAGTGCAGGATTTTTCTCTTCTCCACAGCATCCCGACCAACTTTCAGGCCCACCCAACCTCCTATCCAGTAGGTACTACATCTCTTTCCCCAGGAGTAAAGTGGCAGGGGTGTGAAGCTGACCACTCACCTCCATCTAATGCCAAGGTCAAGAAAGGTGGAGCTATACTTCCATTCCCCCATATGTCTTCATGGCATAGTGCTGACCTTTTTAAGCACAGGGAGAACTGTACCTTATCTTAGGTTATTCTGCTTGAGTAATTAATAGTACCATTCCTCTGTGATGAATAACTTTATGTATGAATTAGACAGTAGGTGACAGATTGGACTCTTGAGTACCAATTTTAGTTTAAAACTTCATTCAGCTGTAACTTGAAGTGAGAACTTTCCCATAAGAACCTGCCAGAAGAAATTAAAGGTAAGATGACAGTTTACTTTACAGCAGTCTTTTGTATGGCAGGAGCAGTAATATGCTTTCTCATAGTCCCCACTATGAACCATGAGATATTAAAATCCTGAAAGTATAATTGTAATTTGAATATCTTAGTAATCAATGCAGTGTCATTATTATGGACCAGATTTTTATACCCTAATAATCCATTAAATATGTATGCATTTATGCACGAGAAACTTCCAAAATATGCACATAAAATGTTCATACCAAATATTAAAACTGACTTACGTTATTTTAAGACACAACAAATCAACATTTAAGTTAATTTTATGTAATCCCTGAATAATTCACTTGTAATGAAAAGCTATTCTTAAATACAAATGATGCAACAAAGCCAACATTTTTTCATTACAAGTTAAAAAAAATGGTACTCACATTTAGCTCTCTAAGCTTTCAACTTCTCTTCCATTGCAGTTCACAGTTAATGAATTTTTTAGGTTTTCCATAGTTAGTCACCTCTTGGTGTCTCATAAGATGTCCTTATATTGGGAAAAATTTCTTTCCACCTCACAGGAACTAAAGTGTGCATGTACAAAAGCCACTATTTGGTCTACTGTTAGTGATAATGCCTTGCTTAAATCCAAAATTTGTAAATTATATGAAAAATTTGGTCAACCTTTTCAGTGATCACTGTCCTCCAAAGTCAGTATACAGGCAGATATGAAAATGACTGACTCAACTAAAATGGCCCCTCCTTAGAATCCTACCAAGAGTTTTGCTGCAGTTGCAATTTCTGGGTTTACACATAGTACCTCACCTTCAAAGGCATTTGCCTTGGATGCCACCATAGCCGTTCCTTCCCTTAAGGTTTCTATTATGCAAGAAGATTGTTTTGAAACTGTCACAAAAAGAAGACTGGTGCCCCTGTGGTAAATACTGATAAAAATCAGCAGCCTCTCAGTATGCGGAACTTGGCTTCTTTACTATTTATTTCGTAGAAGGAAAGGGTCAAGGCTCTTTTCATTTCCAGATTTAGTCCTCAAGTCACTGCTGTTGATGTTGAAAAGCAACTGAAGGAATAATTAACCTTAAAGAAGTTGGTCTGCACCAGACTTAAATTTAATTCTTATGCATCTTTTCATGTTTCAGTAATTGAAGATGAGTTTCTGCTCATCAGTAACACTGGTGTTTGGCCTATGGAGTGCTTGATTGTTCCTTTTTATGGTAAACACACTCCTGATCAGGTGTTCTCAAATACACCCACCACTGAGGACACAGTTCTGCCCATTGGTTCTAACTGGAAGTATGGAGGTAGCCTTGATCCTTCCCAATGATGGTTTTGAACCCCAGTGATTCTGATATTTTTTATCAAAATGTCAGTGGTGTAGAAACAAATGTAGTGGGTTCATAGACAATGTTTACATTTCTGATCACAAAATTTATGACCTTACTGAAACCTGGCTAAATAACATGATCTTTAGTCATAACCTTTTCCCAGTTTCTTATTCTGTATTTCGCACTGACGGAGTTTACAAATTCCAGCACAACTCATGGAAGTGTTCTAATTGGAGTTTAAAATTGATTGCAAGTTGTCATGCTGAGACATGACCATGAGACCACTGAAGAATGTGTGTGGGTTGAAATTCTTGTGACAGTTTCAGTCTACTAATAGGAAATCATTGGCCGGTCATGGTAGCCGAGCAGTCTAAGGCATGTACTGGCTTCACTCGCTTGGAAACTGGGATCGTGGGTTCAAATCCTACTCAGGGCATGGATGTTTAGTTTGTGTGTGTGCGTTTTTCTGCGTTTGTGTACAGGTAGAGGCCTTGTAACGAGCTGATCACCCGCCCAATGAGTCCTACCGAATGTGTAAGATTTAGAAAACCGAAGTGAACGGAGAAGTTCGTGGAGGTAGGCCTAGACTCACTGGGGCTGTAGTGCCAAGGAAAAAAAAAAAGGAAATCATTACTTTTCTCCTGATTGTAATGTCAGTTATTCAGTTCAACTTTTTTGGAACAAAATTTAAATGCACATCAGTACTGGGTAATCATGTTATGTGATTTTAATGTACCTATGATGGGATTAATGGTGCACCACTTCCCAGCTCTTAATACTACTGTAAAATTAAAAGAAATTCAATTCACTTGGCCACATGCTCTTTTGGACTTGACCAATGCAATAACTCTGTTATAAATATTGCACTACTTGGTTTGGTATTCTGAAATATCAGCAACTTAAGCATTTCTATTTCAAACTGTCACATAGTCACTCCTGATAAGTATCATCCACCACTTCTCCTTGATATCACATTAACTCCTGGCTTCATTGTATATCTCTGATCCCTCATTCCAGCTATGTTCAAGGTGATTCATCTGTTGCTGTACAATGGTTTACATCCTTCTGACTGGTCTTATATTCTAACTGGAAAGTCCATCGATTCCACAGTATACGAGTATAATCTCACTACTATAGTGTGTGGAGCTGTAATTTTAGCAATTCCTTATATAAGATCCAAAAAGTATACTTTCTGCGTTGGTTTTCTGATTCTTTAAAATATTACATTGAAAAGAAAAATCAACACTTCAGAATATACAAGAAAAAGTTTGATCACAACTGTAGTATTTTCTCTCATTATCACAAACTGGTCAAAACCACCATTAAAACAGAGAGACTTCATTGGTTAAAATCTGTCTGACAATCTGAAAACTAACCTAAAAACATTTGGAAATATGTCTCCAAGTTTAAAAAGAATGCTCATGTTGTCATCCAACTCAGAATTGGTGAAAATGTAATAACACAGCCTCAGTGTATTGTTGAAGCCTTTGCAGATCATTTTTCTTCAATTCTTGACTCTCCTTCCTCTGTTATTCCAAACAATGCTCATTTTACGTTCTCTGATTTTTTAAACATCCCTTCAATTTCTGACTCTGACGTTAAGCAGGAAATTTGACATATCAGCCTGTTGAAGTGTGTCCATTCAGATGAAATCCCCAGGTTCAGAAATTGTTGCCCTTATTTTGAGTCACATTTTTAATATTAATTTGTTACAAGGGAAGTTTCCCACTCTGTGGAAGCAAGTGACTGATGTGCCTGTTCTAGAAAGGAAACAGTGCTCTAGTTACTAATTACAGACCAATCACAGTGTTAAATAATTTCTCCAAAGTTTTTGAGATTATATGTTCAACTCTCCTTTCATTTTAAATTTAAACTTCATCTCAGCATGGCCTTATTAAATCAGAGCCTACTACAACAAATTTACTTACTTAAACTCTTATGACAGTTTCTCTCACTTCACAAGGACAGACCAATTCAATTTTATTTTGGCCTCGCCAAGCCTTTGACAAACTTCTCCATACTCTTTTGCTAAATAAACTCTGGTGATCTGATCATCATATCAATTGTTTCCAAAGTAACTTATCGTCTAGATTTTCTGTTGTTCACACTTTAGGGAAGTGTTCATCACCCTTTCCCCTTGGTGTCAGAAATGCCACAAGGCTCCACTTTGGGAATTCTGTTATTGAGTATTTTTATCAATTATATATGTGCCAAAATCCTTTCTTCCAAATTTTTGCTTTTTGCTGATGATTTAAAAATATTTTGTGTCAACATCTACTCAAGAGTGTAAATTATTTCAGTCTGATAATAGACTCTGTATAGAAGTGATACATTGAAAATTATATGAAAATTAATGTATTCAAAACAAATATTTATTTTACTTGTGAAACTAACAGTATCCACTTTAATTACGTTGTGGGTGATCTGTTGATCATATGAACTGATTGTGCAAAAGATCTTGGTGTTATATTAAATAGCAAACTGCATTTTCATCATGTTGACTACTTACTTCTCAGGGACTAAAGCTGTTAGGACTAATTCATTTCATCACATTTTTCTTCTTTGGATAATTTAAAAGCTTTATTTATTACCTTAATTCATTCAAAGCTTGAATACACATGTCATCTGGAATAACCTTACTTTAGCAGATTCTAATAACCTGGAAAACATATAAGAAAGCTTGCAAAAATATGCTATAATTGATTCATTCAGTATAATTTCTTTTGTGATTATGAATCAATGTTGAATTATTTACATTTTAAAATGCTTTATTCCAGGTGACAGATCCATGACACTTTATTTCTTATTAACCTTTTCAAGAATAAAATTGAATATTCTGTTGTGGATACAGTTGGTCTCCATCTACCCACTAAGCAAATTAGAGACTTTTCCACCTTTCACATCAGTAATGTCTCATGACTTAGCCCTTCAACAAGATGTTTCACAGGTGCATGTAACATCTGCTGATCTCTGGACGTTTTCAATAGAATTACCATCTCCTTGAGGATACATTTTACTTTGCTTAATCCTACTAAGTTACATCATTAGCTTTAATTTTTAGTATTGTTCTAGTTCTGGCCTTAGTCTAGCTTTTGTTATGTATACACACGTACTTTCAGTGCTCACCTGTTATAGGCCACTTGCTGTTGGCAAACACTTAAATAAAGGAACTGAATTATTATTGTTGTTGTTGTTGTTAATAGCAGTGTATATTTATTTCAGTAAATTGGCTGCTCAATTCCAGAGCATGGAAGTTCGAAACAGCAATTTTGCTGCTTTCATTGATATGTTCACATCCAATACTTATGTGATGGTCATCATGTCTGATCCTGGAATACGTAAGTTTTTCCATATTTGGAATTACTGTCAGGCCAGATTAGGGTTACTTTTACATAATGTAACCAAGGTGTTTGTGGCGAGTGTGAATCTTAACAGCTGGGTATCTTTTGGACAGTTGAATACATATTGCCTTGGAAACTTTCAGTGCCTTAGAGAGATAGTAACTGTGTTCTGTGACTGATTTAAGCGACTGATTAGTCTAAGACTGTTCACAATAGATTTAACAACTTACACCAGTAACATTCCAGACACAATGAAGTATTGTATTCACACACACATACACAAAGGGTATATTTAGAACATTTTTGGTAGGATACAAATAAAGGTATAATCTTTACAGTTCAGTAATAATACTTGATATTATAATTTGGTTTACTCCCACTTTGGTTTCAGTTACATTCTTTTACAGAACAATCACTGAAATACTCTTTAGTATAATTTTTGGTAATGTTGTAAGTTACTGTGTGAGGTATTAAGTGTAAATAGATTTCATCCTCTCTCTTCTGTTGAAGTATCTTTGACAGTTTAGGTTCACCTTCTGATTCATGAAAACACTACTTCACTGGAAAGTAGGATTTTGGAAATATAATTCTCAGGTACTCTTACCTCAGTTGTTAATTAAAACTGACCTTTAGCAGCACACATTGAAAATATGTATTGAGGGGAAGAGAATATAATACTTGCACAAGCTGGTGAGGCTTTTTAAATATAATACTGTTTTTTTCACTGGACTTGTTTAATATCACAGCACATAGCTTTGATGAATACACTCTTGTTGAGGGTAATGTTCAAACTATGATGGATTTTTAAAAAGCTGATACATCACTGTTCACACACACCATTGTAAGGTCTTGGACTGTAACTTCTAAATGTGCCTTTAAGCCTTTATGATGTTAAGTGATCTTAGTTTCATAGTTACAAACTAAAAGACTTGCACAGGACATTCCTGTTGTAACTTTGTATAGTTAACCTGTAGTAACTGGTCATGCCAGTTTGTTACACTTATTTTGATTTGCTAGGCTCCAATGGAAAAGCAGTGGCTGATAAATCAGGTAGAGTCCATGAAGGTCCACAAGGATCTGCAAGAAATACGCAACAGTTTGGAAACATTTGTTACTTTTACATCAGTAATCCTGCTTAAAATAGGTGGCATATAAAATTATGCAGTATTTGAACTGCAGTATTGCTTAAATTAAAATAAGAAAATCACCTCCCTCACCCAGGAGTTAAAGTGAAAGTGCTGAACCTCTCAGTTGAGTGTTGAATGTTAAAGTGGGTGCTGTCAGATTAGAGAGTGGAAAATGGCATGTATCATATAAATAGGGTTGTATATTGTTGGAATTGTGATTGAAGTGTAAAAGTTGTAATTATTACCCTACAAGAAGGATACTATTGTTTTGTAATCAGATGTACCTATCTGATATTGATGGGAAGTAGCAGCAGGGTAGTTTGGCTAAGAATAACTGTTTTTATAGTAGTCTGATACAGACCTAAGAGAAAATAAGTAAAACAGTATGATACATACGACATAATGTGTTTCAGCAGATAAAAGTGAATATGCAAATGCACACAGATGAATGCAAGGGGGCACGTGGTAGCATAGTTGGTTGAGGCACTATGCTACAAGCCGGAAGGTTGCGGGATCAAATCCCGATAAGGTGGATTTTTCAATTTACCTAATCCTTCCAGCCACACTGGCCCTGGAGTCAACTCAGCCTCTAACAGAAATGAGTACCAGGAATATTGTTTGAATATTCTTGGGGGTAAAGGGCGGCCGGCGCGTAAGGCTGACAACCTTACCGCCACCTATGAGCCAATTGTCTAGAAAATATAGGAATCTCAACATCTCAGATCCCTACGGGCCTCCACGGCCTGTTACAGGGACACCTTTACTTTTTACTTTTTTTTTTTTTACATAGATGAATGCAAGGACTGAATGCAATTCATTGAGGAGGGGGGGAATGGCTGGAGCATAATCCTGACTTCATCTGGCATCAAGGTTAGGAGATACCATGCCTCCATATGCATGGTGCTCAAGCCAAAGGATAAATAACTTTTCTTGTAATGAACTTGTGCACATTATGTGGAACCCCTTTGCTAAGTAGACTCCAGAGGTGCAGCTTAGAAACTTTTTATGACGTAAATAGCTCATTTGCTAATGTCATGGCATAATCATTTATAATAATGTAATTTCAGTCAAACTGGAAATGTCAAATGGAAAGAGCCTAGTATACTGCAAGAAGATTGTAAGAGTATTCTTTGTATCTTGAACAAGAGAACTGTGTGTAATCTTTTACTCATAAACTGCAAGAAGACATTTGAAATAACATTGTTTCTTTCTTTGTATCAGCTTCAGAAGCAACTCTCATCAACATCCGGAATGCAAGAAAGCACTTTGAGAAGCTTGAACGCGTTAGTCAGGCACAAAGTTCACTTGCAAAGTAAAATTTTAAGAAGAAATTATGTGCTGAACAAGCTGTGTGAAATGTCTTTATATATGGTAGGATCCTGTTAAGACTTCTCATGGGCCTATCTGCAAAAACTTAGAATGACTTCTTATGAGAAGATAATAAGTAAAACATGTTTGCAGGGGACATGAAAAGTAATCATTCTATATAGAAAGCTCTTAATAGGGGTCTACTATATTGCATTTATGATGCCAGTCAGTTCAAACACTACATATATACATATTTTATATTACAGAGGAAATTATGTGTTTGTATGAAAATAGTCCAATATTTATAAAGTGTCAGGCTATTATTGTGTGTCATATGGCTTTTAACACTGTTACATCCATTTTCCTGTAGTGGCAAAAAATAATTCTCTTCATATTTTTATAGGAACATTGAAAAAAATATTTCCAAATTATAGTCCCCTCGATGGGGAACTCTTCAAATATGTCTCGAACCGATATCTACCGTGCAAAGATGATTATTCTTTATAGTGCAACGCTGATCGATGTTTATGAAAAATAAATGTAGCATGTCTTTGGTAACATACAGGAAATGGAAGTGTGCTCTTCGCATTTGCACATAGCTTTTGACATATCGAGTTTGTTTATTATTATTTATAAAAATACTGAAGTTAAATAGTAAACCAAGATAAAAATTTATCACAGTCTTAAGAATTATGAGACAGAATGCACTGGACTATTTTCATATAAAGTTGGGTTTCAGTCAGAGCCAGTGATGTAATTTAGTTAATCTACTATGCTATTGTCTAGCAGACCACTGGACCACAGTATGATTAGATCATAGATTTGTAAAATTACATTTGTTCTGAACACTATCTGTGGCACACGCATGTCAGTGCTTCAGTGTTAACAGTGGAATTTATTGGCATATCTGATATAATTTGATTTGTAATTGAAACGTCATTGTTAACTTGTGCACATATAACTTTTATATAACGTCCCTATCAATATCATGTCTGCCCATAAATTTATATTGTAGTATGAGTCACTTTTGTGATAAAACACAAGCTGTTCTCGCTACAAGTGTTAAGTATGTTGTTATATAATATTGGTTATAAAGCTTTAAGGTGGAACATGAAATTCTGTAAGTCTCTGTGTTAAGATGATTTATCCAGACTGCAAATGAATGATAAATTTTGTTATCATTTAATGGGAACAGATAATGAACACACTTTTCCTCAGTTTAATCACAAAATGGAAAGTGTTCCATAAAAGTTAGATGTTTTGTATGTATAGACAGACAAATCATGATGGAAGAAAAAGAATCCTGACCATTTAGTTTCCACAGCATTCTAGCCCAGAAAATAATATTGCTCTTCCCAGACGCACTTGTCCATATTTGCATAGTAGAGACATACGAGGTGTATTGGAAAGTTCCTGGACTATGTCAAAAAAGAAATGCTGGCTTAACTTACTCAATTTTGGCTGCCATCTCCTTCAAAATAGTCTCCTTGGGAACATGTACAGCAATCCCATCATTTTTTCCATGCTTCAGAAGCACCATGGAAGTCATTCTCCTTAATGCTGTTGAGTACCACTTGCAATTTCTTTTGGATGTCAGACACTTTCAAATCGCAGTCCCTTCGGCTTCATTTTCAATTTGGGAGACAAAACAAACTCACAGAAGGCTAAGTCTGGCTAGTAGGGAGGATGTGGAACGATAACCATGTTGTTGTTAGCCACAAACTGTGGTTTTCAGGGAAACATGGGCAGGCGTATTGTCATGATGAAGGGGCAATGCAGTGCATGTTCAAATTTTCTTTTAAGATCTCTTGATAAGCTCCATAACTGATCCCAATGATGTCTGCAAGCTCATGGATTGTTTGGCAATGGTCTTCATGGCTGAGTTCTCATATTTTTTTAAACGTTTTCTGTAGTTTTGTTGGTGCTTGGTTCAACTGTATTTGAAACATAAGCGCCATTCAAAAACTGCTGTTCAGCTTCAAGAATGCTCTCCAAAAATCTCACAAAGCATTTCAAGGGTTTTGGTAGTGCATGCAAAACTTGATGCAGACATGTTGCTTGATTTTGCCACCCATCGCAAAAAAAAAAAATGTTGAAAAGGCACTTAAACAATGTGTGTTGTCACATGGCAGACTGATGCAATAAGCTTGTGGAAGTGTGACCTTGGCCTTCCCTCCGATCTTCTTTCACCAAGGCAGTTACAACAATAACAGTCCAGGAACCTTCCGGTACCACCTCGTACTCTTTAACTGTTGAAAGTGGCAGATCATACAGAACTGTTACTGTAATGAGATCAAGGTTGTGATAGGCTGGCTGGACATGGAAGAACTTAGAATTACTGGGTTCTTGGACTTTGTCCATTGTCTGGTGTTCTAGAAACTAAAAAACACAACGTTTCTGAAACCGGATCTGTTTTCGTCCTCAGGTTGGGGGGAAAGACATCTACTCTGCTGGGTCCCTTAGAAAGAACTAACCTCAATCATTGGAAACAGTCCAAAAACCAAGTCATTCTGAGTGTTATGCACCATCATCAGAACCCTTTAGAATGTACATGGGGGAACTTCTTGGAAAAGTGGTCGCTTGAAAAAAGACAAAGCAAGGGATGAGAGAATAAATACTAAAATGGATATGAAGGAGGTAGGTGTGAGAATATGTAATGGATTGAATTACCACAGCATTCTGTAATCTTAAGTATTAGCAGTGCCTGATCCAACAAAGATTTGATTTGTATTTCCTATGCTAATCAGTAGAGCTAGCATTTTTATGTAAATACATATTTTATTTCTTACTGTGTAGATTTTAGAAAGAAGCAATCACCATGAACTGTAGCATTAGCACTGCTATAGTTGAATTTTATTCTACATGTTCTGTCATATTTCTCTTTACTTGAATTTTAAAGTGGAAAGTGTGTATAATTTTTTTGCATGTAATTTGGTTAAATATGTTACTAAGATCCTCCTCCACCCTTCCAAAAGACTTTTCTGCAATGATAGGGAAATCTGGAAGGAAATATCTCTTGTAAAGTAGAGTAAACTGCAACCCCCAGGTATTTCCACTCATTAGTGTGACCTGCGTGTTTGGAATTTTTCCAAGAATTTGAATGGTGTTCCTTTGTATTGCAGTTGAAATCCTCTCCCCTCTCACCAAACATACTCATCCACTCCTAACACTCCTGAAATTTCTGAAAGTGGTTTTAATTTTGTTCAATGAGTTAAGTTCAAGTCTGAGTAGTCTGTATCGTTATGGCACTGGTTGCATCCTCTCTGGCAACAAAGTTAATAGACGATTACTTCATAACTGACAGTAAAACCATAATATGTATGGCTTGCAACAAAAGTACTGGGCATATGAGATCACAGTTTGAGCAGCATGTACAAAGTGCACTACATACTAAGAACAAGCAACTGAATTCTTTGAAGAAGGAAGTGCTCTTCTTAACACAGATGCAGCAATCTTCAACCTCAAGAAATGAATTCAAGGATAGGTGCAATTGAATGGTGTCTGAGAACATCCTCTGGTTTAAACTCCAAATGCCCAAATTTCAATCCTTTTTGGAGAAGTACCATAAGCAACATATTCCAGACAAGTCACCACTTCGAAAACATTAACCTATCTGCTATGAAGAAACCTTGGAAAACATAAGAGGTAACATAGGAGATGCCTTTATATGGGTTGCTATGGATGAAACAACAGATTCCATGGATCGCTTTATCGCGAACCTTGTGGCTGACAAGTTAGACATTGAAGTTCCTTCTAATCCACATTCAATTTGCTCCAAAGTTCTGCACCATACAAATCATTCCACTGTTGCAAGATTTGTGAATGACACTTCAAGTGTTATAGCCTACCAGAGTTCATGAGAAGAAGGTGGTAATTTTGTATTCAGATGCTGTGGCATATATGCCAAAGCTGCAAGTGTGTTGAAAGTGTTTTACCCTAATTTGATTCATTTTAGTTGCCTGGCTCACAGACTGCAAGGTGTTGCCAAGGAGGTTAGAGCCAAGTTCCCCCAAGAGAATAAATTACTTGTGATGAAAAACAAAAGTATAAGATTTGAGGTGTTCACAGTTGTCACTATGAAAAATGCTATCTTCTGGGATGTGGCACCATGTAGATATTGTGTAAACTGACATTTCGGACAAACATATCATCTCCATCTGCAGCCACCTGCTCATGCTGGTTCCTCACTCACAGATTTTTATACCCTGAAGATGGAGGCGATACATTCCTCCGAAACGTTGGTTTACACAATATCTACACAGTGCCCCATCCCAGAAGATGGCTTTCTTTAACACTTTGCGGACCGTGCACCCTTTAAAAGGTTTTTCGCTTTTAAACATGGCGGACCGTTCGCCTGTTAACTGGCTTTTAGAACACGATAAGTTGCAACACACTATACATCTCTCTGGTGCCACCCAAATGAATGACTACTGCGTAATATTGCTCCGGAATGTTTGCCTAGTATGTAGTAACTTGACCTCGCTGTTTTGGTTCCCCCTCCAAAGGAAAATAATCTTTGACCCTTCAAGCTGTTATGTACCAGGCAGGATGTTAGTGCAATATGAATCAAGGACAGAAGCGGTTGAAGACGAAGCGATATCTCAGAGAAAAAGAAATAGCTTACTCGTTCTCCAGTGAGCTATTTGACGTGCCTTGTGAGAGGGGTAGTGAAACTGAGACAGTGGCAGTGACGGGTCAACAAACAAGTGTAGCCACAGACAATAAAAGTGAAAGTAGCTCCGACGAAAGTGCAGGTAGTAAAATTGCGGGTACAGCCACATGGGGAAAAGTAGACACAACACAAATGTCTGAAGTAGCAGAACTGTTTTTTGGAGATAGAGATACTCGTGTTGTGAACATGATTTCCACAATTCACAATTCGAGCATGGTTCATGTTCAAAGGAGACATGGACAAGTAAAGAAGCCTATTTGTATTTCTGAGTATAATATGTTCATGAAGGGAGTTGATAGAGCCGATCGATACTTGGCCTATTATTCTCTTCCTAGATAAACAATAAAGTGGACAAAGAAAGTTGCCTTGTGACTTATAAATTGTGCCATTTTCAATTCATTTTTGGTTTACAAAAATCTAAACCCCAATTCAAAATTGAAATACAAAGCATTTCTGATGAATATGGCAAAGGCCTGGGCTACAGACCAGATGGTGGCGGCAGAACGAGAGTCAGACAAAGACTTAGTGGGACCAGTACCATCAACTCCCACCCCTCTCAGGCCTCATGTGGACCCCCCTGGGCGACTCGGGTGATATGCGGAAATATGCCCTCGTGAAAATTGTGAAGAGTGAACATTCCAAGGGGAAGCATCCTTCTAGGCAATGTCGTGTTTGCACAGTTCACCGAAAAAGGAGCATGACTGCCTACATTTGCAAGTACTGTGTAATGCCACTTCACAAAGGGGAATGTTTCCAGGAATATCACACTCTCAAGCACTTCTAGGAGCATTGGTAAGTGTTCTCCAAAAATTTTAGTTCATAAAATTAATTAGGAGATTTTATATTAATTTTTAAAGTGAACAGTGCACAAGTTAGCATAGTAGGTTTAAAAATGCCAGTCCCCAGGGTGATTTAAATATTTAAATTGCCTGTCCGCAAAGTGTTAAAATAAGTGTTTCCAAAGTCCCACATCAAGTACAGTCCTATAAGCAACACTTCCCAGATGCACCCTTGCCCCCCAACCAGTGCCAACAAGATGGGAAACCTGGATAGAAACAGTCAACTTCTACAGTGAACACTCTGAATCTATGAAATCAATTGTAGCCAAGTTCCCGTATGAGTCTGCTGTTTTGGTGCGTGAATCCCAGAGTGCATTCAGTGATCCAAATGTGGCCTGTTCATTTGCCTACATCCAAAGCAATTTTGGCTGACTTCCAGACAGTATAAAACGTTTAGAAACCCAAGGACTTCCTCTGCAAGAATCAATGGACATAATTAAAAATGCAAGTGAAAAGCTTAATGTTGTGAAAGGGGTGGCTGATGAAAGTGTGTCCACCAAGTTTCAGGCAATGTTAAAAAGAAACGCTGGATTTTTTACATTTACCAGTATGTCAGGTACTTAATGCAGATTATGTAGATTCCCCTGAAGACATTGCTTCTGATAAATTATTTTGTTAAAATATGCACCAGTGACATCTTGTGATGTAGAAAGATCCTTTTCAGCCTACAAACACATCTGTCAGATAAAAGATAATCAGTGACCTCAGAAAATATGGTAAAGATTGTAAATAAAGGTTTCTTGCAAAACTAAATATTACTTTACATATTTTAATGAATCCACATATTATACATCTTTCAGAGGTTTTTGTTATATACTCATAATTATGTATATGTTTTGCATGATGATGCCACATAAAAATCCTAGCTCTACTAATCAGTCAGAGAAATACAGAGAAGGTAACTTCAGTATGAATAAATGGTCTATGTAAGCTTCTGCATTTCATGTTTTAAGAGACTTCTATAATTAAGCACTAGGCCATGAAGGGATAAGGGTGAGTGGAGGTATAGCTCCATCATTCTTGACCTAAGCTGTAGGTGTAAATGAGTGGTCAGCTTCATGGCTCTGCCACTTTGCCCCCTGGGGAAACAGCCCCCCCAGAAAAGTCTGAAACATTGTGATACTGCTTCCTTATCCATTACATAACATCTCTGCTCCCTGTTTTTTAAGTTTTTCCCAGGTCTTTGTAGGAGCAGATTTTTGAGTACTTAATAATTACAGTGTAGTTAATACAGATAGTGACTGCCCTATGATTA